AGAACTTGGTGTGGATGTGCAGTGAGACTTCATGGCCTCCGGACTCTGCTGATCTATGGATGGGGAGGAGACCCTTGAGAACTCTCACGCAGCAGGGACCTGAGGTCGTATGATCACTGCCCCCAGAGCTCAGGCCCCGGGCTCCCCCTCACAATCCTGCCTGGACAACTGTGTCCTGGGTTCGGATTTCCTCATGTTAGGGCTGGATTGTGTACCCCCCTCAAATTCATAGGTTGAGTCTTAACCCTCGGGACCTCAGAATGTTGACTGCGTTTGAAGATTGGGTCTTTACCAAGCTCCAATGTGCTCATTGGGATGGGCCCTACCCAATATGACTGGCATCCTTACAAAAATGGGAAATTGGGGCACAGAGAGGCCCACGGGGAGACAAGACACCACGTGAAGATAAAGGCAGAGATCGTGGTGAAGCTTCTACAAGCCAAGGGACGCCAAAGATGGCCAGCCCACCGCTCGGTGCCGGGGCAAGATCCTCCCTCTCAGCCTCAGAAGGGACCAGCCCTGCCCGCACCTTGGTCTTGCACTTCTGGCCTCCAGGCCGTGAGAGAACGAACCTCTGCTGTTGAAGCTGCTCAGTTTGTGGTGCTTTGTTCCTGCGGCTCTAGCAACGGAATACGCCTGGTAAGAGGAATCTTGGGATAAACAGAAAGGATTCCTGGGTGTCCCCACTAGGAAACTGCATTTCTTAGGGCTCGCCCTGCGGGGGCACCTGATTCTAGCTTCTCATTGCTTCTGAGCTATTTTACAATCTAAGTTGTAGAGAACGGGTGATGATGCAAATGACCTTTGTTTGTGGACATGAACATGAACTGCGTGGTAAGGGACAGCTGTCACCTCATGGCTCCCACCTAGAGCCAGTTTCGCCAGCTCGTTTCAATCCTCCTGACCCATAAACATGCCTGTTCACGTTTTCCTTTGAACTGGTTGTAGCATCTTTCCAGTTCCCCCATTTGGTGAGCGAGTTTAATAAGATACCTGCCACAGGTCGATTGCCTGTCTGGGTGGGACTCATAACTCTGTCTTTGGTCGGCACGATTTTCTATTGGTGAGCCTGAACTTGGCCTGCTGTTTCCTGGCTGCATTTTTGCTGCAGTCCTTGAGGGGGAAGTGTGGCCGGTGGGGCGGTCTCACCCTGATCTCTTCAGAGACGTGGTTGTTGCTGTTGTTCTTTTGAGAAAACCCAGTCTTAAGAATGAAGAATTGTGTGTCCCCCTCTCCCTGGCCGGAGGTTGGCATAGGCTTGTCTCAGCCTGGGCACCTACTGTGCGCCAGTGTTTTCCATAGGCTGTCTCATTTCTTCTGCATGGAGACATGTACCACTGTCCCCACTGGATCTCTGGGAGATGAAATGGCCTCATTCAAATTCACGTGCTAAGTGGCAAACCAGGCTTCACACCCAGGACTTGGGGCTGCAGGCCCAGGGCTTTTGACTACACCACAACGGTCTCTTCTGCACAGAAAAAGAAAATGCCTCATGTGGGCAGGCTCTGAGACGGTTCCTGGTGATCCTCTCCTCCTGGGGTTCAGGTCTTTGTGGGGTCCCCTGCCCTTGAGTGTGGGCCAGACCTGTGGCTTGCTTCTAACTAATAGAACAGGCAAAGGTGATGGAATGTCACCTCTGGGATTGCTTCAGATAAGACTGTAATTTGTGTCTTCCTAGCAGACTCTAGTCCTTGGAGGCTTTGATGAAGCAAGCTGCCATGTCATGAGCTCCTCTGAGGAGAGGTCCCAGTGGCAAGAAACTGAACGTGACCTCCAGCCAACAGCCAGCAAGTTGCCGAGGCCCTCAGGCCACCTGCCACTGCACACTGGATCGGAAGCTCGCCAGGCAGGGTCCAGTTTACCTTTCCTTTACATTCCCCACCATCCTGATGCATGCGTGGGCTCCATCTGGCTGGTTTGCACCTTAGCAGAGTTTTCTGCTTGTCCCTGTGGCTTCTCTCAAAATACAACTCCGCCGGCCTGACTGCCCCCATCCATGTGCCCTCCTCCCACACCTCCCGGCCTGATGGCACCTGCTGTCACCCCGGTAGGTCTATGAACAGTTACACGTGTTTTTTTTATTTCACACATCTAAGTTCTTGGGTAAATAGTAACAACTCTTTAGAAAAGGAATTGAAAACAGAATAGCCAAATGCTGTTTACATACAAATGTTCTTTGTCTGTTAAGAAGCCACTTGGTGGGCAGCACTAGGGAGGAGACTGTGGGTGGAGGCAAAGGCCCCACACCTACCTAATTTTGAATCAGTTTTCCTAAATAGTCCCCCCCCCCCAAATATGTGAGCCTCAGGGCCACAAAACCTGGACTGATTACTGATGGTTCTGCAAGCGCTTTCTCTTTTTTTTTCTGGAGATAGTCCGGTGAAAAGAAGGGAAGGATAGGCGACAGATCAGGGGGTGCTGACAGGCAGAGCAAACCAGAACTCTGAGGCCCAATCGGATGGTGGGTGGCAGGGCCTCCGCCCAACCTGCCTTGTGACTTGAATCAGGCTCTCGGGTGACCCCATACACCTAGGTCCTCCCGGTTCCGAAGCCCCTGCTGCCTGACACACTTGATGGGAGCCGGGTGAAAGCTTCGCCCCAGGACGGTCCTGGGGTGGTGCGTGGGACCAGTGAAGTCACACAGGCCCCCAGGCTCAGGAGGGCCCACCCTTGTTTTAAGGTTCTGCCGTCCCCTTAAAATTCTTACGAACTTTTGAAGAAGGACCTTGCATGCCCAAGTTTTTGGTGTCCCCTCCATCTTTCCACCCCCGTTCATGGCTCACTGGCCTCCCCACGCCGTCCCTGCTACAACTCTTTGGAAAACACGGTTCCGCAGGGCCACACACACTCTGCCTGTGGCTTCATGGCGTTTGTGCAGCCCTGAAGCGTAAGAGCACTGTCCTCCCAGGCTGTTCAGACAGGAGGACCCCAGGCACCCTCCAGCCACACGTCCCCCACCGGGGAGCCTGCCAAGCAGCCCTTTTGGAAAGAGTGCATCGACTCCGTACAGCGAGCGCCCGGTGGGAACGTTTCTGCAAAAATGAACGGCCAGTCGGGAAACCCGGCTCTCCACTCGAGAAGGTGACCCTTCCCTTAACGTCTTGGAGGGCAGAGCCACAGGCGGATCTGTGGGCGCACTGCCACAGTCTCCGAAAGTCCACCTCGAAAAACACAGTTTCCGTGTTTCCCCAAGGGGGGCCACTTCACCTGCTGACAGGGCCGCGCAGGCGGACAGGGTCACCTGGGGGACAGGTGTACTACAGGCAGAGCGCCGGGACAGAGAAGAGACTGCAGGATGGCTGGAACCCGCACCCCGGGACACACGGCGCCCGGGGCCAGGCCGGTCGCTGGGCAGAGACCGCGGGCGCCGACACACCTGCCCTCGCGGCCTGGGCACTCAGAAGAACCCGCTATGCGGCCCGGGGCCCTCTCCCTCCGGGAAGAAGGCGGGGGGCCGCCGCGGGCCTGCACACAAAGGCGGCGCGCGCAGGCTGCGAGGCTGAGCTGCCAGACGCCCACGCGGCCCAGCCTCCGAGGGTGGCCCAGGGCAGTCGGGGTCGGCCTGGGCCCACCAGGCGCCCCGCGCGCGGAGAGGGGCCGGCGCCTCCTCCCGCGATGGTACGGCCCGCCTTCCCCACGGAGCTGTGGCGGATGGTTCCGCCCACCCGAGCAGGCTCCACAAAACTCGCGCCGCCGCAGGAGAGCGAGCGGAGGGGGCGTGGCGCGCGCCCAGGTTACGCCTTCAGCTGCATAGTCATGAGGCGGGAATGTCAGCCGGCTAGGGGCGGGGCCTGGATCGGGCGCGAGGCGGGGGCGAGAGGGTCTGACCGGAAGGCCGGCTGCCGGCCGCCCCCGCCCCGCTCCCCACCCCCGGAGCGCAGGCTCCGCCCTGCGCCGCTGAGGCGCAGGGACTGGGCAGGGCCCGGGCCCGGCAGGCCCCGCCCCCGCTCTGAATATTGATGCGGCGCGCGTCGGCGTCGCCCTCCTCCCATTGAGCGAGGCTGTGTCGCGTGGCCCAGCGTCGGCGTGACGGTTGGACGCGGGCGCGGCACTGCGGGTCCCGATTGCTGCAGCCGCTTGTCAGTGTGATGAAGATTGGCACCCAGGTAAGCTGTCACTCAACCGCTCCGCCGCCGCCGCCGCCGCTCCGCCGCCCCGTCCCTATCAATCACGCTGGCCC